GGGGGGGTAGCGGCCCACCCCAGTTATCAACAAGTTTGAAACAATTCAAATTTTTTAAACAAAGAAAACCAAACAAACTTTGCTGTTTGTTCAATAAGGTGGCCAGGGTTTTAATTTAATTTGGGTTTTTTTTTGGGGGGGGGGGGGGTAGATTAGTATTTTGAGGGGAGAGGGGTGAAGAGAGCAGTTTCAAAGGTTTGCCTCTTGTCGCTTGGTAACGTGCTAGTCGTAATTTTGAAAAAAAAAAGATTTATATGTCTATCTATCTTTAGGTTGAGACAAACTTACAGCAAGGGGCACAGATACTCCAACCAACGGCCTGGCATTTAGGTTAATTACTTTATTACGTTCCCTCCAGCTGACTGAGTCAGAACGAGTAAACGTCTGTTTCTGCATGCTGTTGCATGGCCTAATTTGTTGTTGTCACGGACCCAAGTAAAGACCAATATGGTCTACGGAACTAGGTTCAACCCCGGGGGGTCCTTGGGTTAATTTTTCCTAGTTATGTGCCGCTGGCCTCTCAGAGCCCCTACCCCATTATAGTCTATTCTGTGGCCAATTATAGACCCCAGTTTTCTCATTTTTGGGCCAATGTGATTTTAGCTATCACAACTTAGTCACTTTCTTTTCATGTATCTACCTTATCAATCCTTTGAATAGGTCATTCTAAAATGAATTGACCCATTTTTTAAATTAAATGAAGACTCGGCACCTTACTATGAAGAACTTTCTTACCCCCAAAATCCGAACAATCCCAACATTGTTAGACCAATAATGTTGAGAGTTGTTGCGCCCGTGTTGGCAGTGGTGTGCAAACGGATGCAGTAACTCCCATTTATGTTGGGACCTGCAGTGCATCGTTGGAAGTTTAGGCTTGAGACTTTGTAAACCATGTATACTGTAAATGATCGATTAAGCGCCGCGGTGTCAATTTTGGTATTTACAAATTAACGCCCCACCTTTGTTACGGCGCTCGATATAAAGAGATATCAAAACCATACCGCTTGAGAAATTAAGACCTCGACCAACTCGTGACTTCTAAAGTTTTAATGTAGGAAAACTCTTGAAACTAGGCTACGAGTAGTCTCCCAATTTTCCTCAGGGATAGTAGAGCGAGCGAAACGCCAGCGCGCGTGAAAATCACCGCCACGTGAGAAAAGGCGACACACGGCCTTTTCTCGCGTGGGGTGATTTTCACGCGCGCTCGCGTTTCGCTCGCTCTACTATCCAGCACTCCACTCCTCCCCCTCCCTCACCCCACCCCGCTAATGACCCTTGTTGCCTCCTGCCTTCCGGGGCACTGACAGTTGTTTGTTGCCTGGGTCGTATGCAAATTGTACCGCGGAAGACGTAGCCTTGCATTCGTTCTATTTGTAGAAATCCTGAAGCCTTGTGAACTTGTAGTTATCCTACAGCAGCAAACATCATGGGTCGAATACAGTTCCGAGGACGCGACGGAAACCGCCGTTTACGCTCGTGCTGCAGCGCTGTTTTGCGGCGTCTTCGACAGGATTTACTCCTAGTGCTAATTATTCTTGGCGTAATTATCGGTTTTATCATCGGTGCTTCAGTAAACGAGCCCGTCAACAACATCAAAGACCCAGAATTGAAACAAACCACCATCATGCTGATAGGGTTCCCGGGCGAGCTGTTCATGAACATGCTCAAGCTGTTGATCCTGCCGCTTATTGTGGCAAGCCTGATAACAGCTCTCGCCACATTGGATTCCAAAGCCACTGGAAAAATCGGCCGTCGCACCGTGCTCTATTACCTTGGTACTATGCTCATCGCTGTGCTTATTGGCATTGTCCTGGTAGTTTCTATTCGCCCAGGTGAACGCAGCAGACCCGAGGTTAAGGAGACAAAACCTCTTTCAAGGCCTTACAGAGGGCTTGACTCTCTGCTCGATCTTTTGAGGTAAATATACTTTCATATGGAAAAGTATTCAATTTAAGATGTAAACTCTTCGAAATTCTCCAAACGTTTTATTCAGAATTGAAAGTCTAGTTAATAGCTTTTGCTCGAGAAGGATCATTTCAAGGGCTGTAGTTATTTGCATTTTTTTGCTAACTACTCTGGAAAACTGGGGTGAGGCTCAGGGTCAGTTTGGACAGTATCTTCTTGTGCGACTCGTTCCACGAAGGGGTTTTATTTGATTTGAAGAAGCTGAAATTTCATTGATTATGCACCACTTTTTTCACCTTTCTCCGATACTGGCTGTGTTCGTTTTGAAGTGCATGTTAACAACTTAAGTCTGTTACGGCATCCATGCGGCACAGCGAGCGGTATGCATGACCGCATCCGAGTTGTTATTCAGCTTGTCTACGGCTCTGTGGTTTTCTTACACTAAAGTGTCAAAGATGTTAGAATTTTTTATGCTATCCTGTGATAAAGTAGGCAAAAACGTAATGCGTTGGTTATCTTGTGTCTTGTATATACGACATATAACTCGGTAAGATTTTCTAGACACACTCTGCTGTGTGCGATCGACAGTGAAATGCAATACACGGTGTCGCTTCAGTCGCTCGCGGGTACGGGTCTCTATCATATCATGCGTGTCCTATTAATCACGCGATCGTGCATAGTCGTCAAGAGTGCAAACGTTTTGACATTTTCTCGTTTAATAAGAGCGGTTTAAAATAACGTTCACTGCAAAACATATCAAGGCACTTTTATCTTTCATGAAATAACGATTATAAATCAGCTGTGGATGCATGCAGTTAAACAAAACGTAAACAAGATTTATCAGACATTCCATGTATGGTAACCCGATTAACCACGCGTCATCGACGACTGACAATACAGAATTTTGTTGCATGAATGACAAAAGCACATCAAGCCCGACGACATTCATGAATATGATTAAGTTCGTTCAATTTGCTTATGTGAATGAGGCCCAATGTCCACACTAGATCATTTTAAATTGTCCATTGCGTTTGAACACCATTTTTATCATCGAAAACGCAAACTGATTCAAACAGTCTTTATAATTAGGCTTTCCTACTCACGAAGACTCTTGAAAACTCCCCTCTTCCACCGGTGGGTTGGGCCCTCACTTTATTATTGGCGGGGTTTTTCAGTCCCGCAGCCCGTCGTTAATTTTTTATTCCATTCCACTGAACCCATTCCCCGCTGCTCTAATAGCATTTCATTCCGATCCCACCTGGCTTAAGCTCTGACCTCCTACTCGGATCACCATCGATCATCAGTATCAACTTGTAGATTTGTTACGGCTTTCTTTTACGTGGAGCTTTGACAATTTATAGAGGTGGGAGACCCCAGGTAGGTGAGGTAGAATATGGCGGGTCACCCCACCTATCATGTAAACGTGATCAAATTAAAATGAGAGATTATACGGGCAAACGGGTTACCCCACCTAAGCGGGTTACCTCACCTACCTGGGGTGCCCCACCTCCATGTAAACAGGCCCTGAAAGACAAATTCTAGAACTCAGAATTCGTGCGCGAAATTTATAGAGGGCGCTTTTAGGATCCGGCAAAGATTTTGAATCATTTGCCTTTAACTGAGTTACTTGTTTCTACTTGGTAAAACAAGTTTGCATGATTTCGTTACGCTTTGTTATATAGGAGCTGTTTTCCAGTTAACATTGTGGAAGCTTCATTCATGCAGGTCAGTATAATAGTTATCTCAACATGTATGTGACTTCTTGAGAGCAAAAATCTCTCAAGGATGCCTTAGTATCTTTTGCGGTTATTTATAAGGCTACCTTTTTCATATTGTTTTTTACCGTATAGCACATATGATATACGGATTTAAACTACACTACGGCTTGGAAAATTTGATTACAACAAAGGAATGTTTTCCAAGTACTCCGTAGACGAGTCAGCTATTGTGGACCTTGTCACACCACGCCCCGGGTCTGTTTGTGTCATTCACTTTGTTCTGTTTTTCTTTGTTTTGTTTTGTTACTTGTCGTTGTCTTTTTTTGTTTCTTTGTTCGTCATCTTTTTCATTGCCTTTTTAATGTTTTTTTAGTCTGCTTTTCTTTATCCCTTTTAGAGTGGGCGTTAATTTCGTTTGTCTTGTGTTTCAGCGCCTAAGCATTCCATATTAGGACTAAATTTTTTTTCCGCGAGAGGTCATATGACATCATATCATGTCTTCGGAGTAGGGTCGAGTAGTGTTCGTCAAAAAGCGTTGTTGGCGATAACCAGGAAACGAGAAACGGCAGTGAAACAATTGCCAATTGGCGCGTTTTTTATGAGCGTGTAGTAATTATCTTTACTTTGTAAAGGTCAGAGAAAAACGACAAGCTTAATAATTGAAAACGGGAGACGATAGTCTGCTGTTTACCTCTGCTGTTTACCGTTTGCAGTTAACATGAAGCTGGTCGTAAACACTCTAATATTTTTTTGTTATAGTCATAGAAAGGATAAATGTATGGTGAGAGTCCATGCAAAGTGTCCTATCCTTCAAAAATGAACCCGGAAAAGATCGCGCTCTCCTCGAAAACTGGCGGCCAATATCCCTTGTTAATGTAGATACGAAAATCATGTCCAAGGTGATCGCAACAAGGATTAAAAAGGTGTTACCCAGTATCATTCACTACAACCAGACTGGTTATGTTAAAGATCGTTTCATCGGTGAAGCAATACGTTTTATTTTCGATATTATGGATTTCACAGCTAAGGAAAACATCCCAGGTTTACTGCTGTTTATAGATTTTCAAAAAGCTTTTGATAGTGTGGAATGGGAATTTCTCATTGAGAGTCTTAAAAAGTTTCACTTTGGTCGAGACTTCCTTCAATGGGTGAAAACCTTTTATAACAACATTCAAAGCTGTGTTATAACATAGTTATTAGAGGAGACTGGTTATGAAAAGCGGCAAACATCAATGATAAAAACAACAGTGCTGCAGTTTATGTTGGAAGCACCCTGAAAGTGCACAATCCTTTGTTTTCTGTTGGCAAATTGTTACGGAATAAATTAATGCAACGTTTTTATTGGTCAATACAATCAAAATGATAGGAATTCTTTTGAACGTTGTGCACTTTCAGGTCCACAAAAACATATAACAAAGGAGTCTGACGGGTTTCATGACCATTCCACTCAATTAACTATGGTTATAAACAATGGCGTTAGTTCTAACTTTTTTACTTTGGAACGCGGTGTTAGGCAGGATGATCCACTCTCCTATTTATAATTGCTCTAGAAACTTTTAAATTAGCAGTTGCTGTAAGGCAAAAAGAGACAATTTAAGGAATCACAATACGAACTGAGGAAACTAAGCTTTTACAGTTTGCAGACGATACAAAATCTGTGTTAGCTGACACAAGCTCGGCTGAAAGATTATTTGAACTACTGACTTAACAAATTCGAAATTCTCTCTGTTCAAAAACTGAAGGTATGTGGATTGGATCTAAGAGACATTATAAAGAAAAACCATTCGGTATTAAATGGCCGGACGAACCAGTAAAAGCTCTAGGTGTATATTTTACTTACGACCAAAAATTCCTTAAAGAAAAGAATTTTATTGAACGACTGGATTCAATACTTACTAATATATGGTCCGCTAGAAGCCTGTAGATATCCGGTAAGGTGACAATAATCAAGTCTTTTTTTATCCCTGAGTACATTTACGTTTGTTCGATCCTTCCAACTCCCAAGGAATTGCTAAAAGAATTGAATAAAATACTATTTAAATTACTCTGGAAAGGTGTAGATAAGGCAACAAGAGTTTCAGTTATAAACGAATACGAAGATGGAGGGCTAAGAATGGTTGATCTCGAGTGCATGGTTAAATCATTGAGATTAGCTTGGTTAAAACGTATCTTCAGTGGGACTAATTGAACTTAGTTCGAGTTCGCTCGAAATAAGCAAGCAAGCAAGCAATGGAACTTGGAAAAGCTACCTACAAAACTGCTGAGCTCCGTTGGGGGATTGTTCGTTTTTAACTGCAACTACAATATCTCGGATTACACAATTCCTTCTCAATTTCATCGGGAACTTTTGTTATGGTGGTCGCAATTTCGTGAAACGTTTGCCACTGAAGAAGATTGGAAAACCATAATCTGGAATAACAAAGAAATAAAAGTAGAAAACAAGCCGGTTTATTATAAACATTATGTTAATGCGAGAGTCATTTGCATTCAAGGTCTTTTATTTAGTCTGAAGAGTACTGATTCTTATAATCAAATGTCTAAAAAAAATGCAAAACAAATATTTTAGAATGGGCTGGCTTACGTAGGTCCATTCCATTATCGTTAAGAAGTTATGACAGGTATCCTTCCATAAACTCTCCTACATTTGTGGTGCGTAACAATAATTTTGTTGTTACGAAAGGGAAATCAAAGGATTACTACAACCTACTCATCAGAGAAAAAGCTAAACCGCCCAATATTATTCAAAAATTACAGAGTAACTTTAATTTTAACAGCGACAATCTGAATCAAATATTTAAGCTGACCCACTCTATAGTTGTCGAATTGTATGTTAAAGCCCCAGTACAAAGTAATTAACTCAATTCTTTACACAAATACAAAGTTGTATAAAATAGATTTTAGAACAAATAAATAATTTATGTACTTTCTGTGACAATCAACCCGAATCATTAACCCATTTGTTCTATCACTGCTCACGTTCTAAACAGTTTGGATTGAATTTGAATTATATTGGTGCCTTATTTCGAATCAACGAATTCGTCCCTGCTTGGAAAATGTGCTCTTTGGAATTTTGACGGAAAATGCTTGCCCTTTACTTCAATTACTGAACTATTTTATAATTATTGGAAAACTCTATTTGTGGGACTGTAGGAGCAAACAAATCCTTCCAAGCAGTTACGGACTTAGGGCGAAGATCATCGCTAAATATGAAACAGAAGAAAAATTCAGTAAAAAAGAATTCTTGAAAAGAAAGTGGATACTGACGCCTTATTTTTAACTCCGTATTATTTCTTGCCTTGTTGTACTTTTTTCTTACTTCTTTTAGCCCTGTAATAATTTAACAATTAATTTTGCGTTACTCTGCTAATGTAAATTGTTAAAGTGTTTTTTTGTAGTATTCTAAATGTAATTATTTAATGTGATTATCAATAAATATATTTACATCAAAAACCCGTCTAGAAGACTCTAAAGTTGAATTGACTTTCCTGGTATTGTTAACATACTTCACCCGGTGTAAAATACACGAAATTCCTATTTAATCTCTCTCACAGAAAAGGACCAAATATAGATCTGTGAAGCCAATATATCACGAATACAACAAGACAGTCGACGTACAGTCCATTCCGGCAAATAGTTCCATGAAGATATTCAACAATGGAACGATCAACTATACGACGATTCGCGAAAAACTCGCACCAGGATCAGATCTCGTTCCCAGTGGCCTCGAGATAGCATCCCGTAACATGAATGTCCTTGGGTTGGTTGTGTTCTCTATCGTTTTTGGCATCGTGCTGGGTCGTGTTAAAGAGCGAGGAATTCCAGTAAAGCAATTTTTCGAGTCGCTGAACGAGATTATCATGGAAATGATTGGCTTGGTCATGTGNCTCAATTCTTTACACAAATACAAAGTTGTATAAAATAGATTTTAGAACAAATAAATAATTTATGTACTTTCTGTGACAATCAACCCGAATCATTAACCCATTTGTTCTATCACTGCTCACGTTCTAAACAGTTTGGATTGAATTTGAATTATATTGGTGCCTTATTTCGAATCAACGAATTCGTCCCTGCTTGAAAAATGTGCTCTTTGGAATTTTGACGGAAAATGCTTGCCCTTTACTTCAATTACTGAACTATTTTATAATTATTGGAAAACTCTATTTGTGGGACTGTAGGAGCAAACAAATCCTTCCAAGCAGTTACGGACTTAGGGCGAAGATCATCGCTAAATATGAAACAGAAGAAAAATTCAGTAAAAAAGAATTCTTGAAAAGAAAGTGGATACTGACGCCTTATTTTTAACTCCGTATTATTTCTTGCCTTGTTGTACTTTTTTCTTACTTCTTTTAGCCCTGTAATAATTTAACAATTAATTTTGCGTTACTCTGCTAATGTAAATTGTTAAAGTGTTTTTTTGTAGTATTCTAAATGTAATTATTTAATGTGATTATCAATAAATATATTTACATCAAAAACCCGTCTAGAAGACTCTAAAGTTGAATTGACTTTCCTGGTATTGTTAACATACTTCACCCAGTGTAAAATACACGAAATTCCTATTTAATCTCTCTCACAGAAAAGGACCAAATATAGATCTGTGAAGCCAATATATCACGAATACAACAAGACAGTCGACGTACAGTCCATTCCGGCAAATAGTTCCATGAAGATATTCAACAATGGAACGATCAACTATACGACGATTCGCGAAAAACTCGCACCAGGATCAGATCTCGTTCCCAGTGGCCTCGAGATAGCATCCCGTAACATGAATGTTCTTGGGTTGGTTGTGTTCTCTATCGTTTTTGGCATCGTGCTGGGTCGTGTTAAAGAGCGAGGAATTCCAGTAAAGCAATTTTTCGAGTCGCTGAACGAGATTATCATGGAAATGATTGGCTTGGTCATGTGGTAAGGGTCATTTGTTGTACATTATTTTTCTGACAATGGTAAAAATATAGTAACCTCTGATGCCATTGATAAAGATGATATGATGATGATGATGATGATGATTATGATTAAGATGGTGGTGGTGGAGATGGTGGTAGTTGGAATGATATTAGAGACCTTTAGATTCTAAGACGAGTACGAGTATGAGATTTTCTCAGTACTAAGTAGTGCGCGTGCGTGAACCAGCGTCATTTTGGCAGGAAAACTTGGTAGCCGTCGTCATTCTACTACGAGTTTTAGCGAGGATGTCGTAATGGCGGAAACGAGTTATCAAATGTTAGAAGTTTCATCATTTTGCGATCCCGAGAGGGCTTAACCTCCTTCAATATAGATAACAGTGCTACTTTTCTAATTAAAAAAAAAGTACAAGGAAGCTTTCTGGGGTGTCTATTTTTTGAGAATACGCGAAGAAACCCCAGTTTAACTCCTAATCGTTCTCGTCCGTCGAATCTAAAGGTCTCTATTGACGATGATGACGATGATAATGCTAATATGCTATATGCATGATGCTTATGACACTAACGAAGGTTATAATGATAATAACGATGACGAAAATGAAAAGAAATAATGGTCACTATCGGATAATAATGATTGTAACGTGTCCGTAATGTATCCTTAATTATTTTTTGTTTATTTTTCACAGGCTTTCTCCCATTGGCATCTGTAGTTTAATAGCAGCCAAACTAGCAGCTATGGATGATATCGGTCGAGCATTCGAGATGCTGGGCTATGTGATGGGTACTGCGACTGCTGGCCTCTTTTTACACGGTGTGATCATTTTGCCGCTTGTCTATTTTATATTTACAAGGAAAAACCCGATAATATACCTTAAGAACCTTTCTGATGCCGTGGCCACAGCATATGGTACAGATTCCAGGTAAATTCCACAATATAATTACAATACCTCAATTTTTTTTGGTCATTTGTACTAATTAAACGAGGTCTGTAACCCTGTATGAAGATGTTTAGCGAGAGTTCTTTAATTTGTTACCTCCAATAGTCGTCTAATGCACAGAGGCTGTGTTTTTAGTCTTGTATCACGTATAAGGTGTAAGGCCAAAGCCACTCAAGTGACCAATAACCTGAGAGACAGTTCTCACTGATGTGGCGCCACGCCTTTTTGCAATTAAAGATGAACTCAATTGACGAAATGATTATGTTTTCCTTCCCTATAGCATCTTATTTTCTTACTTTGCCTCAAGACTCTCTATTGAGGAGAAAGGGGGATACTTTTTCTTTGTCCCGAAACCCAGGTTTAACCTCCATACAGGGACACCTTAGTACTCAAAACATGACTGACTAAAAAGTGGGTTGCTTGTTAAGTTAAAGTGTACACTGATAACACTAACGATAGCTTTCACAACATGGGAAATCAACACACAATATAGCAGAGAAACATAAATCGTGATTTTTTATATATATAATATACATTATTTAGCTGTTTGAAAAAATCACTGCAACAGATCCAGAGACAGGTTGATTATCATTGGTTGTTGGTAAATTATTATCAGACCCCAGCCCAAGCTCTATTCAAGGCACATTTTTCTCGGTCTCGCGGGTGTCCCCTGAAGAGATGGCCCAAAGTAATTAGCATCGATTTGCAACTATTTAACAATTACTCCTCGATCCCGAATGGGCTCTGAGTCAATAGCCCATGAGGCCGAAGGCCGAACGGGCTATTGACTCAGAGGCCATGCATGAGGGCGAGAGGAATAACTGTTTTACTAAACTCCAACTAGTTGGTAAAAAATATCGAGAATAAAGGAAATTTAGCTAGTTAAAGCAAGACTTAATCCTTTTTTGCCGCCAAAAAGCCCGCGCCTTTCGCTACTGGTGGGCTACAACATATAGCCTAGTAGTAGCTCAACCAATCAGAACGCAGCATTGATAATAGACCACTAGTTGGATTTTACTAATAATAGAACAACCACTCTCTGTTTTTGCCTTTTAATTATTAACCTAGCGCGGCCACTTTGCCAACCACTATCAAATGCATTGAGGAGTACAATGGTATCGATAAACGCATCAGTCGTTTTGTTCTTCCGCTGGGAGCCACTGTCAACATGGACGGGACAGCGTTGTATGAAGGCGTTTGTGCCCTGTGGATAGCCCAGCTACATGATATTGACCTCAGTGCTGGGCAGGTTATCACCACCGTGTATGTACCATTATACACCGCTTTAAACTTTTCTCTTAAGGTTCGCTAAAACGGGCAACGAAAATTTGCAATTCGTTTTGCAACATCAGACGTTGCACGTTTACCATCCACGAATAAAACCTGTCTTGCAACAAATCAAGTCGTTGCGGGTTGCGAAAGGTTGTTGCAGTAAGTAGAGAGAGATTCTCCTTCAGTTTCCAAAAAAATATTGTAAATGCCACGCGTTTTACCGGTCCAAGGCAAACTTATTTTGCATCAAGTGCCGTTAAACCCTTGTATGGCTTAACTCCGCAACTTGCAGCATTCTGATTGTTGCAAGACGAATTTGAAATTAGGGGATATAACGCATCTTTTATTAGGGGATACAAGTCGTGTGGCAGAAATATTGCAAAACAAGTTGCACGTTTTTGTTCCCCGTTTCAACCGTAGCATANTTATACACCGCTTTAAACTTTTCTCTTAAGGTTCGCTAAAACGGGCAACGAAAATTTGCAATTCGTTTTGCAACATCAGACGTTGCACGTTTACCATCCACGAATAAAACCTGTCTTGCAACAAATCAAGTCGTTGCGGGTTGCGAAAGGTTGTTGCAGTAAGTAGAGAGAGATTCTCCTTCAGTTTCCAAAAAAATATTGTAAATGCCACGCGTTTTACCGGTCCAAGGCAAACTTATTTTGCATCAAGTGCCGTTAAACCCTTGTATGGCTTAACTCCGCAACTTGCAGCATTCTGATTGTTGCAAGACGAATTTGAAATTAGGGGATATAACGCATCTTTTATTAGGGGATACAAGTCGTGTGGCAGAAATATTGCAAAACAAGTTGCACGTTTTTGTTCCCCGTTTCAACCGTAGCATAAGGGCAAGTTGTAAAACTATCCAGAATAGATTTACCGGAAATAAACCATGTAGTTGGTAGAGATTTCGGACTGAATGAAACTTATCGGTACTTGGTGTCCCCTTCACAATGTTTTCCTCTATAGTGTTGAATTGGTTTTGCTGGAAATATCACTGTGATGGAATAGTATCCTAGGAGAGGAGGAGGAGATGAGGGGAGGGGGGAGGGGGTGGGGGGGATTCACGACTTAGCTCCTCTGGGCACTTCCCAAACGGATCACAGTTACCGTATTGAGTGACGGTATCGAAGAGATATATAGGAAAGCCAAAAATTAAAAAAGCATGTTGTAAACAATATTTAAAGTTGTGACTTATAAAACTAAGAAATCATCTACATTTATCATAATTGGCGATGATTTTGTCAGGGAAAGACTTTTATTTATGAATTTTTAGACTAAAGCTTGTAGTTAAGGAAATTAGGCAGACATTAAAAATATCCTAAACGACCCCGTTTTGATTAATGTTATCAGTAAAATTAATCAAATACATTAATGAATGTAATCCCTTATTTGGCGTCTATTCTCACTTTCAGGCTGACTTCCATGGCTGCAGCAGTGGGCGCGGCTGCAATTCCATCTGCAGGCTTGGTTACCATGTTGATTGTCCTTCAAGCTGTCAATCTGCCAACCGAAGACGTAGCTCTTCTTTGGGCCGTTGATTGGTTCATGTAAGCCAGACAGTTCCATCTTGTTTTCCGCCTTTATGTCTTTGGTTTCTTTTCCTTCCGCTTGTCCACTTTCGTTTTCCGTATTCAAGCTATTGTACGAAGAGAATAAAGTGGAAGCAAGTGACAAATGGTCTCAAATTTTAAGAGCTAGGTTCGAACCACTAAGGGTACTTTAAATCTACAGGGGGTTCTAATGTCTCTTTCCAGTCTTAATATGAAATGTGTGGCTATCTTGAGTTTATGCGTGCTTGAAGGCATGCTCTAGTTCGTTGTCACAAACAGTGTTTTTCTCGATAGTTACGAGGTGCCAGTTAAAGGATTAACAAAAACCTTCAACTTTTTAAAAAAATACTTTAGATAATGATATTTTTTTTCTTTGCAGGGATCGTTTCCGAACTGTGGTAAATGTTCTTGGTGATGCCATTGGGGCTGGAATAGTGGCACACCTGTCACGTGATGAGCTAAGGGAGGCTGACGAGGCAAATAAAGGAGATGACCAGGAGCTGCTCGAAAAATACAGGCCTAAGGAACCAGATATGGTTGTGTCCGGCTTGTAAAATTATTCGTTTTGAACCATGTTTAGAACCTATAAATGAGCATTGTCGAGGGAATTCTTGAAATTGTACGCGAGTAGTTTTTCGAAGATTTTCTTTAGAACGAACCGCACGGCGATGACCATATAGTTTTTAGACACTTTTACAGGTGTATTCGTAACAAAGCTTGAAAAGTTAACTTGTTTTGCAACTTTGTCAATAGCAACGCACTGCTCAGTATATTAAACTTTGAAAGGTGAAAATGACAACCTTATCTGTAAAAAATTTTCCACAGCTTTTTCAAGTGTCTGTCGCTTGACCCCGGTCAGTCAAGCCTCTGTAACAGAGTTCAAAGAACTCAAAGAAGTGTTTTATTGCATCTGCGCATTCGTTATTGACCAATATTGCCAAGTTTGTTTGTTTGTTTATTTCGTTTTGTTTTGTTTTGTTTTGTTTTTTCCTTTTATGGACCAAGACAAAGTCAAAGAAAGCTAAGGGTTTATTACTCTGAGAACGAGGTTGGTTTATTTCCACATAGGTGTTACTGGGATGGATCTTTTGCTTTAGCTTGCTGGGCCGGTTCATGCATGTTTCACGTACGAAGGCAGATTGATGAAAAAGTTGCAGAGATTTATAAACGTTACATTATAACCTAACACAGATACCTAGCATCCCTTTTTTTTGGATCTTTTGCTTTAGCTTGCTGGGCCGGTTCATGCATGTTTCACGTACGAAGGCAGATTGATGAAAAAGTTGCAGAGATTTATAAACGTTACATTATAACCTAACACAGATACCTAGCATCCCTTTTTTTCTTTGTTTTTTACCGATTTTGGACCAGTGATGCCAATTTTAAAAAGAGATTAAAAAAGTTGTAGTTTTAACTACTAGAAAAAAAAACCATTTCAGAACCTCGTGGATCTCGTAAAATCTTAGAGCATCTTTTCCTAAACGAACAGATATTCTTGCAAACAGTGCTTATCTGGTCAAAGTTCGGCATTAGTCTTACCACAGGTGCGTGATAGTACCACAGTAAGAATCCAGATTAACGCGTGGCCATTAGCTTATGAGGCCTGGGAGGAGGTAAAAGTCAAATCCACAACCTGGCATCCTTTGGTGGCCTACAGGATATTTTTGGCCCAGAGCTCCAACTTTTAACCTCCCCCGCTGGAAAAGTTATTTCTTCTGAAAGCTGTTGTTCAAATTAGCCAATCGCAAATCGTCAAAGAAAAAACCCGCGCCCACGCGTAAATTTAAAGAAAGAAGTTCAAACATCTGGCCCCAGTGGTTCAAAAGTTGGATAGCGCTACCCACCGAATAATTCTCTATCCACTGGATAGCGCTATTGATTTCCCTAATACTTCTCGGCTGGATAGTGATTTATCCGGTTAATAGCGCTATCCGCATTTTGAACAACTGGGACCTGTTGTCTGGGTTCCTGCTGATGTACATGTACATGTAATCGCCGATTAAGCAGCGGTCTTTCAGTTTGTGAATCATTGCGTGTGATACAAATTAGTAGCGGAAATGATCCACTCTGACTTGGAAATAAGGAGCTTAAGTCTGACAACGAAGGAGATGGCCTCAAAAACAGAGAATTTGCGATAAGCAAACTTCATAGCTCTTTACTGTATCAGTCCAGTTCAATTCGTCAAATATTGAGAATTTTTCCATGGAGTTAATTTTAAACTACTGTGTTTTAAGTTAGCAAAAACAAGAAAGTCTGCTGGATTTGTTTCTCCACATGGGGAAACTTTATTGTCTTTCATATCCGAGGGTAGTCCTATTTCTTCCGGCCTAGCGCGTTTCGTTCGATTTTCGTGAAAAAGTGAAGGACAACAACAACAACTAACTGCAAAGTAAAAAAAAAAGTCGTGTGAGTATTTCTGAAGGAAAACAACAACTAACTGCAGAGTAAGCTTATAGCTGGTATTTCCTACAAGTTTCAGGATCGGAACGTTACCGGTCATACATACAATGTAATTTTAAACGTATACTCGTACTGTGGAACTGCCACCGAGCCTGGGTTACCTGTGGTTTTAGTGCCATCTGACATGACAAAGCTATTTCCTTATTTGGTTTGAGTCCGCAACCACTTTATTTGGGAATGAGATATTCATCTGTTGTTTGCAAAAACCCTGTCATATTGTCCTGGGGTTTCGGTATTTTTCAAAATCAAATGCATAAATATATATATGTTACTGTCTCAAGTTTTTTTAAATAAATTTTTGCCTGTCGCTTGATGCTGCTTTTGTAATCGTTATTTTGGATAGATTTTGTTCGGTCTTTTCTACGTTGTCTTTCAATGTCCCAGTTGGATGCAAACAAGAGCCATCCCCCGGCCCATTGTGGTTCCTGATGTATGGTGTCATGTCGTTTCCAAACTTTATTCATTGAATCCTGAATTTTAACAATGACACCTGGAGATATATGGCTTATGATTGTATACCTAGGCCAAAAGGGTAGCTTTACCCTAGTGCGAAAAAAATATATTACTGGTATAAAATATTAATAACGTATGTGGGGTTCCCACCGCAGATGATAGGCAGATTCAAAATGAATAGATTTTATAGCTCAGTTTGACTTTAGGCTCTTAATTAAGAATGTTGCCTGCTATTAAAAGATTTATAATGCGACTACACAGCTCATCACAATCTCCTTCAACTTTCCTGCAAAGTAAAGTGTTAATTTTGAAACCGGCAATTTGCCGAATTTTTACACCATGTTTAGTAAATAAACATAACGCAATTGAATGCACTAATTAACCAAAGTCTTATTATGGTAATGTGCTTGCCCGGGTGTGCTTGTCAGTTAGAAACACCTTTTTTTAAGCGGTAGCTATTAAGAAGTCGAAATTTCGTGAAGAACACCACACTGAACAGGCACTGCACACCGCAGTTCAGTTTTCCAGGTAAGTGTTTCATGATCAGCTGTGAACGAAGTCGTATGTATTCCAGTAGTCATTTCCACTTTTCATGAGGGTTTATTTTAATCGAAAACTGTTGAAACGTGGACGTGGTTGTCGTTTTAACTCATCATGCCGAAGACTAATCACTTTGATCCATGAATATTCTTTTCAAAAACTGCCAAGATCAAACCAATAATGGACAATTCAACTGGATGTCTATAATGTTCGACTCAGAGATGGAGTAACTCAAGTCAGGAAAGTCACTTCTTAAAACAGTTTTTATATCTGCATGGCATCTGTTGCCACGGAGAAAATAGTTTTTAGAAAAGACTTCTCACTTCATTTAATTCAATTGATCGTTAAACTACTTGTAGTATCACCTCTACTCAGATATGTACAACGTTTGCAAGCTATCACCCAGCAATCTGAGCAGCGCATTGTAACAAAGTTGTGAAATGTGGCGTTCACAAGCGGAATTTCATGTAGGTGTATTCTGCATGCAGAGTGGCAATGGATTTGTGAGAAGACAAAAGTTACAAGCGATTGAAGAAAGAAGAAAAAGAAAGGAAAAGAACTTCTTTTCCTTTCTTTTTGAATAAACCAGTTCATCAAATATGTTTCATAAACGAAGGAATAGGTTTTTAACGAATACCAAACGTTTAATTTTTTGATAGTGTCTTAAATGAAATAAATTAAAATACTCTAAATGGTGGAAAGTTGACCTTCGCAGGTATCGCTAGTGCCACCCTTGCAACGAGCGAGCAAAAAGAAAACATCTGCTAGATAACCAATATAATTCGTCCTGGCAGAATCAAATGGCAGTTGTTTAGTGACGTGATACAAAAACACCTTGTTGGATCGAGTTCAGTGGACGAGAAAAACAAAAAACTTACGCTTTTTATTTGTAATAATGACCTCCTGTTTAGTGACCTGTCCTTCATTTATTGAAAATAATAATCTGTTCAAAACAATGGAAAGGTGCATTAAAGGCTGATACTGACTGACCAGGTGAAAAACGGTCGTTTGCTTCACTTCTTAAAATAAGGCTCTCATCACGAACATTTTTTGGGAAGGCATAAATTAAGACAAGGCACGATCAAGGCTCACTGAGAAATAGGTTGAGTTAAATACTTCTTAATCATGATTCCATAGAGGACCTAACTTGAGACGTGTCATCTAAACATTGGAGGTTTATCCTTTTTCCCTAGCCTGAATTTTGGTGACCTCCAGTCAGCGTTAAGTCACTTGATCATGACTTAGCGAGCGGAGGAGGTGCCTGAAATTCAGCCTGCTCTTGCCCTGGCCGATTGTAAAGGGGCGAAGTTTTGACCATTTTCCTTTCATATTTTCATAACATTGTACATAATTTGATTTTAATTTGATCTTTTTGGGCCTCCTCTTGGAAACGGATGTAAAATAGTAAATTGAGAAATTACTATAGGTAATAGCATGATTAGTAGTGATATTTGGCATAAATACCACGAGTGATATTTCAAAATTGTTATACCATTAAAGTGCTCGGCAATCCGCAGTGAAATTTGGACAATTTTGAAATATCACTCGTGGTATTTATACCAAATATCACGTACAAATCATGCTATTATTTGTTTATACTACTACCCACAAAAGGTTTGTAATTTTCACATGTAGGTATTTCAAATCAAGCTGAAATACCACTACTCTAAGCCAATCAAATTGCAGAAATTTCTCATGTAGTAGTATAAAAGACTGGAATTAGATGTGTGACTGATTAGCTGCTAGCCTGCGTCGCAGACAGTCTAATCCTGGGTCTCGGGTGACAAGTCCGGCTGCAACGCGCGCAGGCTAATTCAGTACTACCAAATCTTTTTTTATTTTCCTAAAAATGATAAGGTTTCTGTCGGTATATTTATATATAATTATAGGGCGGTCTGATATTATACTTAAATACATTGATGGATTATTGGATGGAAGGTTTGTTGATTGATAATTAGGTTTCGTTGCTTGTAAGTTTGTTCATCGACCGGTTGCTTTGATCGGGATCCACTTATTTCACGCCTCTCCCGGTTCGCAGTGCACAGGGTCAAGAGGAGATATGTTTGTCGTTAGAACATCAAAGCCCGTCGAAAACCTCCGAAAAAATGGGTTATTTTGATCGCGTTACAGTTTCGTTACACATTCTATAGACCGCAAACCAAGAGACTGAGGGCTCGCAAGATCGGCTTACATCTCGGCACTTCATGCCTCGGTCGCCCTTCGGGCGACGGCCTTTGGTCACCCTTCGGGCGACGTGCCGTGCGCCGGCGAGGATATGGCTTGCAGTCATCGATTTTCAAAAGTCGATCATCGTTTACAGTAGATTTATACCATTGGGCTAATTAATCGTGCTAAGCGACACTGGTATAGACATTTTTCAAGGTGAGACTTTAAATAAGTAATTCATTTATTCAAACGAAACTCCTCTGGACCCTGCGGCAGTGCAGTGCACGCCTGCCATTTTTTTTCCCGCGCTCGTTTTGCTCGAAGGACCAAGAACAACGGAAGGGCTTGCTGCCGCTTGTTTTATTTTAATAATCTATGATTCTATTTCAGAACTGCAATAATGAACTGGGCGAAATTGTTTTCTGTGTTAGCTCTCGGAAATTTTTTGATTTTCTACCAGCCTTCTGCAGCTGAAAGCGATTCCTCTGGAGAAGGCGAAGAAAAAAAGCTCCATGAAATACCTCTGGTGTTTGGATGGACAGAAAAGCCCCCATACGCAACACCACCAACAAATGGATCTTTAGACAATGAAGCGCAGGGAATGATACGTGATGCGATAAGCCCTTATATTCTTATGGAGTGTGGATATAACTGGGGTAAAGCATATCAAGTGGCCACTAAGAAATTCGAAAGCGAATTTGAAATGATCGAGTTTCTGAGGCAAAACAAAGTTCACGTCGCGCTTCCGATATTTGAGAATCCAGAAAATCGTAAATACATAGACTTGCCGTTTTTTAAACTTGATGATTATCACGGAACCGAATTTATCACTACTGAGGATGATAGTACCGCGCTTACAGTTGTAATGGATTCCGTTTTGAAGTCTTGGCCTTTACTCGCTGTCTTACTCGTACTTACAGCTATTGCTGGAATTATCATGTGGGCTTTGGTAAGTGTAACTACATTATAAAACAGCTTTTTGCGTGCAATATTACAAAGCGAAAACAATGCAAGTTATTGAACCGCCGTTGTCTTTTTCAAGTAATGCAGTGTGTTTAAAATTAAGTTTCACCATAATACTTCTAACTCTCTGAGGACCCTGATTCCTCCCCAGTCGTCTTCGCGTAACGCGCGCGGCGGGAGCAGGGGGTGATGGGTAGGGAAAAGGGTATACCCCTCGCGCCACGACTAAGAGAGACGACTGGTGACGAGTCAGCTGAGGTCCTACTGAAACGTAACAGTTCTGTGGTGAAACAAAAAAACTAGCTGTAAGTAACTGATTAGAAACAATCTGAAGGCATTTTACTTCAAATTGTCAAAACCTTCACTGATGTCAATCAAGCGATACATCTATTGCTTTCGCTTTGCTAAACGTTCATCCTGCTCATACAAATAATTCAGTGTGCGTATTTTTCTCACTTTTCTTCAAATTCGGCAGGACACGTACTGGAATAGTGAAGAGTTTCCTCGCTCATTTATCAAAGGATCGTGGGATGGATTCTGGTGGTCTTTTATTTCTATGACCACTGTAGGGTAGGTAACTGCTTTCCAGGAAGACGGAAGCCAATTTTGGCCTATTGTTATGGTAGCTCTTCCGTACTAACACCGTTAAACTGCCTCTACTGGGCGCTCGTGCTAAACTGATTCAACGAGACTTTAGCTAAAACTCAAAAAGACAAAAAGTTGTAGTCAAAAAGGGGCAATAAAAGTAACAGAATACCAAATCATCAAGCAATCGGACAAATCAAACTCCAAGCACGCGCGAAGCCATATCGTAAAGGGCCAGACGGCCCGTTTCATCATACAGAGGGCTGATAGCTTTGCAGCGATGATGAGTTCAAATGGATGGCAAAACATTGCCAGAGTAGTATGCACGCATGCGTAAAAAGCTGGCTATAACAAGAGTCTGGTTGTGTGTGCTTCTTTGCTGACCTCGTATCATGAATAAGTAATCACTTGCTAACAGCATCACGGATCAGACGCAAGTTGACTCAAAACCTCCTGACTTACCACACCTTTAGTTGCGATTATAACGGCTGAAGAATTAAGATAGCCACTACTCCAGTCATATCATGAAAAAATGTATGAGCAGAAGTCAGTTGCTGGATGGCGTTTTAGAAAATCAAATGTTGCTACATATTCACAGTTTCCAGTCCAAATCGTTGCACAATAATCGTCGGGCGTAAATGCATAGGCTCACTAAATCAAACATCTAAAGTTCACTGCAGCAGTTCAGATAAAACGTTAACTGACAGTAATCTAATAATTTTTGCTATTAACAGCTATGGAGACAAATCTCCCAAGTCGATCGTTGCTCGGATATTTTCCATTATTTGGATTATGATGGGTCTCATCGTCATGGCAATATTCACGGCCAGCGTCACTTCAGCTTTGACAGCGGCTTCTTTAGATCTTGAGCCAAGCAATCTTGAAGGATATAAGGTATTATACTCCCCCTAAGACTACTCTCCTTTCAATGGGCAAATCAGTCACAAAAAAATTAATCTTTGTCGGTTGAATTAGGGAATCACCTGAATCTCTAATATTGTAATCTCCAATCAGCGTCATGATCATTATCGTCATCATCGTCATCAAGGATTAGGAGCAAGGATTAGCACAGTCGGTTAGCTAGTGCGCAGCCCTCTACGCGGAGGTTCCGAACTGGATTCGCAGCTAGTGTGACCTCAAATCCTTGTTATGACTTCTTTCCTTACCATGTAGCTTTAAATACCCGTAAGAGGACCAATGAAGAGAGGGAGGTAAAATAAGCGCACCGTCAGCCTCAGTTAATACCGGTTATGATTTACCGACGTAAAATAAGGACACTATATATCGATCATCATTATCATGAACATTTAGAAAGAAACTTTTTTTCTCAGTTGATTCAAATAATTCGTATATACAATTATCCGCCCGCGATGGTTTAAAGTAACGGACACCTAAATACATGAGATCTTTCGATTGCGGGTAGATTCTCTGAGTCAGCTTTCTACGAAACAACGGGCTTCAAATCGTTTTGCGCTAGAAAACAGATTAAGTAAATCTCGTCGATATTACGCCAAGAAAGTCAAACTAGAAAAACTTTAGAGTAATAATAAAGTCCCTCTATCTGATTTCTATTAGATTGCTGTGTTGGGTAACGGGACGGAATACCAGCATGCGCTACTCGAAGATGCTCACCCAACAGGTATTTTTAAAGCTTTCACACGCACTCCTAAACACTTCATCTGATCTTAAGTTAAAGAAGAAGCTTCTCTCAAATCTTTGGGTGGCCTAAACATGTGTCCCACATTATGCTAACCCCAAAACGATTTGTTGTACTTCTTTGCATAGAGTACAAAAACATTGAAGAAATCGTACAAGCGATGAATACAGACGAAGTCGATGGAATGATGTTAGACCACTACACAGCTTCTTACTATCAGCAAAGAGACAAATTAAAATCATTCGTCACCGTCACGAATTTTGAGCTCCGCAGAGAAGTTGGACTGCTTTTTTCTGAAGACAGGAGGTTCATTGCAGAATGCTTTTTGCTTTATCGCTCAAATATTTGGAGATTGGCTCAAACAATTACAGGAACGTTTAAGGTACTAAAGAGACATCAGAGGGACTAACTTCATCGCCTAAGTAGACTAGTACAATAGAGATTGAGAAGAGAACTGTGACGTCACAAAAATTCAAATTTGTGAAATTGGGGATTGGTCAGCACATTCAAAAAGAACAAGATGAAAAAAGCCCCCTTGAAAAAAATCAGCCTGTTAATTAGTGCAAATTGACAAGGAGATAAAAGCACAGGTTGGCTCTGATGACTTCCTTCGAGATCCTTCTAAAATTGGCTTGGATCTTTAACGATTAAGGTCTATTTTAGAAGGATTTACGAGGACCATCGGAGCATAACATTGCTTATATACCGCCAATATGCACCAACGGGCTGATGTTTAGCAAGTGAACATTTTTTATCTTGTTCCGTCCTTGTGGATGAGCCAACCAATCCAATAATTTCGGAAAATTAGTTTTTGTGACGCCATCACTTCTCTTCCAGCTCTATTTATTTTTATTCAATTTTTGCTAATTTTAATTTCATAAGCCCCGGGCTCAAGGCTCAAAAGAAATATTAAGTTAATTAAAACGCTATTGATGAGTCCTTTTTTTCCCACTGACTGAACCAATGCAACGAAGCACAGAAACAACGAAACCACCTCTTTTTCATCAACGGTGAACATTGAAATTATAAATGAAAAGAAGATTATCGCACTTAAAACAGTGTGATTGTTACTCCTGTTACAGCTGAAACAGGTAACTGTATTGCAGCACGAAGAACCAATAAATTTCAGCCGGTGGAATTGGACAAAAAAGGGGAACTGGATAATGGCACCACTGGTAAATTGATAAGCTGATAAGCTAAGTTGGATTCTTATAAATTCATTGCCCTTGTCAATGTGCTCGTCCCCTGCTACCCATTCGCCGTCTCGAATTACATCCCCACCAATATATCATTTGAAGCCCAATCATAAAATGGGCTTCGTCGCCGGGATCGCAAAAAGACAAAATGGTGCACTGACTTCCTAAAAGACAATGGGTGTTTTTCATTCCTTGCCGATCTTTTAACTATTGAGGGGATGGGTGGGTCGTTTCAGAGAGATAAAAAAAAATCTGAGTAACAGCGCACTCTCTCTCTCTCTCTCTCTCTCTCTCTCTCTCAGACAAGCTGATGACACAATAGGTTTCCCAAGCACTGGTCAGCCTTAAACTAACCAGGGCTAGATTTCTGGATTTTTACGATGCAATGAATGCGAAAACAAGTAATAAATAAAGTGGAAAATATCTGTCCACTGCAGCCCAATACACGCCTATTTTATAGGCCCTTGAATACAACACTGTGTGTCTGGTAATAAACAGGCATTTTTTGGTCAGTTTTTTGATAATTTGTTTGTGATTTTATTTTCCATTTTAGCTAAAACAACAAAAGTCTTCTAAAAGTGTCAGCCTCTTTGATGATTCCTCGCTCTTAATTAAACAGTTTCTTTACACATCGCTGGGAATTCTGGGTGTTTTGGTTCTTGCCGGAATGCTGTGGGAATTATTTGTCAAGAAAAAAGTTAAAATAGGGAAAGGTCAGGTTGTAGGTAAGTCTTCAGTCTGCCTGTTTTTATAAATACTATTGGGGCGTTTGAAACCTAAAGAGGGAAAGATTAGTTGGTAGAAAGCTCCCCTAAGAAACAAGGCAGGTTCTTTCGGTTCTCACGTTAAACGAAAATTGGATAACGGTCACATTTTCCTGGACGCTGCCGGCCCCTGACTTCACATAATGTGTTCATGAATTTGACTTTTTTTTCATATTGCACTTAGCTAGTGCAGGCGACAAAAGTCAGTCGAAGTAGATCTAATAACTTTGGCCAAACTATGCTCAAATAACTCCAGCCAAGGCCAAGAGGATACCATGTAGCCTCAAATACCACCAGTTTGGTCAACTTATATATAATTTTAATATTGCCTTGTACTTTTTTTTCTTTAGAAGCAGTGAACCCAGGGTTTTCATTTTCATCACAGAGAGAAGCTATCCGGTACGATGTTGAAACAACTAGAGAACTTTTCAAGCAAATGGAAGAACATTTGAGCAAACTTGAATTCAAAGTGTCCAAACTTTAAGAGGGCGGAGGAATCACAAATACGTGATGAATACCTTACGATTTCTATATTAGAAGTTAGGAAACAACGCACACACAGTCACTTGTCGGATAATCAACCCTTTATACCCTCCAAAGTATTTTGAAAATACGTGCATAGTTCAACGTCCAGGACACAAGGCGTCAAGTTGCTCAGGCAGGATGCAATTTAGTCCGAATTCAAAAGGCATATGCTAAACCCCAGAGGACTGTTACTGAAACAGGCAGCCGTGAACGGGGAACGATCACGGAGAATTGGGAAATGAAAAATGGAAACAAAACAGAGAATTGGAAATGAGGTTACTAATAAGGCTAAGGTCCAATTTAGGTTTTCTTCCCATTTTTCATTTTCTCGTTCGCCGCGCTCGTTTCCCAATCCCCGTTCTCCGTTTTAGTAACATCCAAAACCCAGACGAACGATTCTAGACGATAGACGATGGACGATTGAGGAAAAGCGAAAAACGAAGGCGATATGAATTTGCATCTTTGTCACACAATCCTGTCTAGGCTTTGATGGATTGTGCTAGCATAATTTTTGGCATAATTCGTCATCACGAGAATAATTTTCACCTTAATTTCCCGAAAAAAAGCACTACTAGCATAATTTGCACTTTTGGCTGGTTTGCAGCACAAAATTGTCAATTTTTTTTTTACCCGAGATCAGTGTTACAGGCAAATTTAAGTAACAAAATTAATCTCTCTCTGCTTATAATCACATTCATGGGACCCTCGTGTTACAGGAAGTGACCCAGAACCCTTAGCTTTTCACAGGACTCAACGCATGCGCATTACTAGCTCGGTTCGCCGCAAGAGGGTCGACCAAGTTGTCAGACATGGAATTATGCACTCTTAAAGTTCTTAGATTTAAATAAGGTAAATGGGGTTTCCATTTACTTCAGTGTTTTATAGGTATTGAACTGTTTTAACCAAATATATTAATTTTTAACTAAATAGTAGAGGCATATTTTCTGCAATTTTTTGGCTCTGAAATGAGCATAATTTACAAAAACTAGCATTATGATAATTACTGCATAATTTTAGAAATATACGAGCACTACAGTACCGCAACTGATCCCCGACCGCAAATGATCCAGAGACCGCAAATAATCCCCAAAATGGACCGCAAATGATCCTCGACCGCAAGTGATCCCCAAAGTCGACCGCAAATGATCCCGAAAGAAAAATAGGAATGACGTGGACTCAATTTAGCGGATCATCGTGTCGGTTTTATTATTATTACAATAAGTCAGATTAAAAGCTAAATTTTACTTCTCAAATAAATATATGAATAAAAACAAAATGAAAAAAATCATTCAAGAGTATTAAAAAACGAAGTTCGTAGGCAACACACGACTTTTACCTCATGCCCGCGGGGACCTCATGCTAAAATGTTGCTTGTTCCAATGACTTTTTTCCGGCTCTGGCGGGTAGATTATACCTCTGAAGAAAACGTTTTGACTGAGCAAATGTGATTTTTGCCGCTTATTTCATACTGAGAGGTCATGACACGCATTTTCTGCGGTTATTGTTGTTTCTGGTCGGCATGATTTGCCCTTTGATGCAAGAGTATTTCCTTTGACCTCTTTTGAAATGCAGTGCTCTTCATTGCCGCTAAATAAGGGTTTTAGGTTGTTTAATTTTCTCCAAAGTGCCTCCTGGATTCGAATGATCATAAGCGATATTCTTTTAGTCCGTGAATGTGACGGTTTCCTACATTATTTTGTCACGCAATAACTACCGCTTACCGGGCTATGCGTTTCTCATTACCAGGTTTAGATTCCTGGTAACTGTCTTCAGCAAAGCACAACAAATGAATATACATAAAAACGCTAATATAACTATTCACAACACGTTCATGAGATGTAAGAAAGTTGCTATTTCGAAATAAACCGAAACCTGTGGACATTGATAAGTTCGGGGACATTTTGACTTGTGTTTATGTTAAATCATGTCTTGTTTCGTAACGGGCACCTAAGTTACGAACAAATGTTTTGCTGTTTAGCACGTAAAATTAACCCTTCAGAGAAAAATCAAAATGAAATATTCTGGCTGATTAATTTCACGCTTTCAAAAGGATCAGTAAAGTCAATAAAGCTCTTGTTATGTAGAGGGTGCCCGGCTTTGTATTCCTCAGTAGAAAGGTTGAGCTTCTAGGCGTTAAAATAATAGAGTTTTTCTGCGTAACGTCCTGCCTGTCTTAAATTTTTCAAAAGACGAAACATTCTTGAAAGAAAATTGAAGCAATCGACAAAGGAAGAAGTATACGGTTAATACCATTCCTTTTCAGATTTATTCCATTTTTTTTTTTTTTTCGCCTTGTATAAATTGACCTGAGATGTAGCGTCCTCCTTCCCTTTTTCTTTAAAAGGCGAGAGAAAAAGGTTTCTTTTTCATAATCAGTCCTTTTTTGTAATCAGTCCCATAAAATCCATTCCATTCCTCAAGTTTTCACGGGATCATTTGCGGTCGACTTAAGGGATCACTTGCGGTCGAGGATCATTTGCGGTCCATTTTGGGGATCATTTGCGGTCTCGGGATCATTTGCGGTTGGGGATCAGTTGCGGTACTGTACAGCACTGCTAGTAGCTATTATGCTACTTTTGCGAGCACAATCTATCAAAGCCAAATTCTGTTACGCAACGCCACGTGAGGGGGCTACGCCTTTTTTATTGCACACGCTCCTATTTTCCCGCCATAATTAGACCAGAAACGCAAAATAAATCAGTCCTCAAAACTAAGCACAATCCGTTGCTAAATGATTTGCTTTTTGTTCTGTTATTAATGAGTGAGTGCCCCTTGCGCAAATATTTGATAATGTGTCATACACTGTATGTGACAGTCTTTATTGTTTTACTTTGTTAAAGGACCCATAACAAATGAATCAAGATTTACAATAAAGATCAATAACAAAATGCGGTGTTTTCCCCCAATCTTGCCACATGTTGCTTGAAGCACATGATCCCAGTTAAAGACCAAGAAAGGTGATTTCTTCACCATATTGACAACAGAAATTCAATCATGCCACCCGCGTGCATGAAAAAAATTTGGCAAACGGAGTAGGATTGATTTGGAATACTGTGCTTAGTAATTCTCGGAAAATTTCTAGAGACGCCCCTGAATTAGAGTTTGCGCCCACAGCCTAGCAAACAAGGTTTCCAAAAAAACGAGAATATTTTAAATTTTTGTTTGTGGATTTTACTCTCTCCACAGAGGCGTCTGAAAGGGCATCTCTTCGAGTTGATACAAAATTTTGCCACCAGATGTTCATAAATATTAATTAACTCGTTTTAGAAGTAAACACAACTCCTCGGCCGTACGTGTAGCTTCAAGAAAGCATATTGTAGTTCTTCTGGAGCTGAGCTCTAAGATTACTAAAATGTCAGGTTATTCTTTCTTAGCCTAAGATGCCTGTTTTTCTATGTTAGATAGTTTAGTTTCGGTTGCAAAAAGGTGACTATGTCAACATGATATCTTTATGAAATATTAAGGGCCCCCCAAGTAGGTGTTAAAATGGTTCTTATGAGAATCAGTTCTGGATCTTGTAGGCTTAAAATCATTCTAAAAAGGTTTTCTGGTTTTCCTATGACGCGGACAGATCGTAATCGCGTGGAAAAATCAAGTTAAGTTGATTCAACTATTACGTGTTTTTAAGTCTTCAATTTGGCTTTTTTACAACATGATCAGTTATATATTGTAAAACAGGCAAAATTAAAACAACAATTAGCAAGTTTTGTATATGCATGATAATTTGCGGGTTATTCAGCAGTATTCTGGTTTTGTAGAGTTCCATGGAAGAATTCCCTTGCTGGTAATTGCGGAATCTTATGTTTCCAATCATTGCAGGTATGACTGTTTAAGTTAAGTATTAATCACAACTGAGAAGCTCCCATTGCGTTAAGGAAGAAATTCTTCATGCGGTTTCGCGCGCCGTAATTTTTTTTTTTGGAACCTTCAAAATATTACCTTGAAGAATAGCTTTTTAAAACTTGAAGAATCAATGCACAGAGCTGTTCCCAAATGCCCGACTCACCTTCAGAGTGATAGGATAAAACTAATTCAACAAAAGAAAAGATTATTTTTCATAAAAATTACGAAATCACCCTTTTTCAAACGATTTTCAGACTAGTCTTTTGCACCTGTCACTGAACTCTAACGTAAGCTGAAACGCAACGGCACTTTTAATTGTGATCGTCACTTCAGCATCCCATCAATCTGGAAATATGGGCTTGTAGTAAAATATCAAGCATCTTATTTAGCTAATAACAGGGGTATGTATATACTTATCTCACTTGCATGCTGTAGAATAAGAAAACGCAGGCTATTAATTAAGGCGTTAAAGTATAATCCTACTTGTAACTTGAGGTTTAAAATTTTATTTCACTGTATGCTGTTAACGTGAAAAATACAATTGTGTGATGAGATATTTACTGTCGAAATTTCTAACAAAGAAATTACATGTACCGACTAGCGATTGATTTGATGTCAATGGCTTGGCACCAGCGAGTTTTGACTTAATATCGCATACCCAAAAAGCGAGAGCACCATAAATCATTGTAATGTGGACGCACATTTTTCCCATGATCTGTGGGTTTTCAGTTAGGTAGAACCTGAGGCTTTAGAGAGTTTACTATTTCGATTAATTAGAAATAGCAATCTCTGTGTACGAGATCGAGCTCAATTTCAGTGAACATACATTACAAGTACAATTATGAATGAAAGAAAAATATAATAATCTGCTCACTGCCAACTATTGAAGTAAAGGATATGCCTGTAACATGACACGAAATGTTATTCATTTTATTACTGTTTAATACTAATAAAGTTCAATTTTTTTTGAAAAGTTATTTTAATCAATCTATATATCATGTTAAAAATTTTTCCTTTTCAGACTCACAAAAATGGCATCGTTGAAAGTGTTTGTAGTCTTGCTCTTTGGAATAGTTGTTGTTAACCTTAGCTTCTGGTATAGCGCAGCTGAAAAAGAGTATATAGAAGTACCTTTGGTGTTTGGCTGGATTGAAAAGCCGCCGTATGCAGTACCACCAACCAATGAATCTGTCGATAATGAAGCCCATGGATTAATCCGCGACGCCGTGTTAAGGTATATTGTAGTGGAGTGCGGATATTCTATCAAGCTGGCATATCAAGTGTCCACCACGAAATTCGAAAGCGAATTTGAACTGTTGCAACAATTACGGCAGAACATAGTACACATTGCCTTACCAATATTTGAGGATGCCAATAATCGTAAACACAGTGAATTTACCTTCTTCAAACTTGATGATTATCCGGGAACAGAATTTATCACTACTGAGGATGACACTACCGCGCTTACAGTTGTAATGGATTCTGTTTTGAAGTCCTGGCCTTTGCTTGCTGTCACACTTGTACTTACAGCTATTGCTGGAATTATCATGTGGGCTTTGGTAAGCGGCTGTTTATATAGGAAAGTAGACACCTACAATAGAACCTGCTGTAAACGCACAGCAACATTTAGAGAAAACAGGCAAATACAATTCAAGTTCTAAGTGTTAAATCAGTGCTTAATATCAGTAATATCGTCATTACCTTAGTGTTAGATAAAGGAATTGCCAAACAACCAGAGGTGTTTGACTCCCTAGGAATTGATAAATTGAGACCTTCCTCCAGTCCTGGCGTATTTTTCTTCATTATAAGAAAAATTAGCCTTAAAATGTTTAACAATCATTCCTCGAGCCCGAATGGGCTCTGAGTCAATAGCCCAAGAGACCGAAGGCCGAATGGGCTATTGACTCGAAGGCCATAAGGGCGAGAGGAATAATTGTTTTAGTAAAATCCAACTAATTACTCAAAAAAATAGAGAATAAAAAACTTTTAGCTAGTTAAAGCTAGACTTTAATCCTTTTTTGCCGCCAAAAAGCTCGCGCTTTTTGCTGCTAGTGGGCTATAACATATAGCCTACTAGTAGCTCAACCAATCAGAACGCAGCATTGATAATAGACCACTAGTTGGATTTTACTAATACGTACATGTAGTATAAGCAGTCTGTTTCCGTAACGTATTCATGAGCGCTCCAATCACTCTAGCTAGTCTACAGTTAGCCTGATTGAAAAGGCGAAAGAAGTAGTTGTTGGAACAGCAAGCAAATGGTTTAAACGTGAAATGCAATCTTCTTATAAGATTGTTACATGTACTACAGCGTCAGAAACCTGCAATTGCATGCTGAGATGAAAGCATCTACTCGATTTTTCCAAGATAACCTATTCTCCATATTTTCGATCTTTTTTTTTCTTCTATACAGGACACGTACTGGAATAGTGAAGAGTTTCCTCGCTCATTTATCAAAGGATCATGGAATGGATTCTGGTGGTCTTTCATTTCTATGACCACAGTAGGGTAGGAAAATTTAGGGATCTCAAAAGACTCCAGGGAAAATTTTATATATGGTGACGGGTTTGTAATACAGATATCTCTAGAGGGAAGAGGTGAATCAGCCGAGGATATTCCGACTTACGGAAGCCAATCAAAACGTGCGAAACTTGCCATTCTCTGACTGATTTAGTAAAGACTAAAAGTGATTGTTCAGTTCTGAACTGCGGGAAGGTTTTATTTGCATTGGGGTAATAGAAACTCAGTACCTAAAAAAATGGAATTGAGTATCTTAAAGGACCAAATAAAGAAACCGTAGGATGAAACATCTAGTACTTCTTTCAGGAATTTTGGTACTAATTTGTTGCATCGTCTCCTTTAATTGGCCCTTGAAACCATCCCGAAAATGTTTGATGTTATAATCAATTTTATAGCTGAATAATTTAGACTATCTAATCGATATCACCATTTATCAAGACGTGATGAGGGTATATTTTCGTCTATTACCCGCTCTTGTTTCATTGACATTGTCTTACAATATAGAAATTACAGAGGACGGGAAGATAACGACTTCCCTCTCTAGTCCTTTCGACCATGATCCAGAAGTCCCAACACGTAATACAGCCCTAAAAGGTGATAATCATTCTAGGCTGGCTATTGTGAGTGGCTTTGTTATTCCACCTATTAGAATCATTTTATTTATCTATGTAACAGCTACGGGGACAAATCTCCCAAGTCGATTGTTGCGCGGATTTTCTCCATCATCTGGATTATGTTAGGACTTATCGCAATGGCAATATTCACAGCTAATGTGACTTCAGCTTTGACAGCAGCCTCACTGGAAGTGAAATTAAATAGCCTTGAGGGGTACAAGGTATTTTAAGTCAATTATGTTTTAGCACTTAACAAAAAAAAGGATCCATAAGACTTCAGCAAAGACTTAATAATATGGGACTGTTACTAGGGAAGCCAATAGCCGACCGGCACTTCCTCGGTAACTATCCCAACTATCCCAAAAACAATTGAGGGACGCATTTCGCAGTAGGGAACTTAAGAACCACTACGACGACCGGAAGTGAGTTACAGTGTACTGCGTAAGCGCGACCAGTAAATTTCGTCGTCGTGCTGTCGTCGACGACGCCAAACGAAGTAGAATCACGTCGTACTGCAATCCACAAGCTTCGGCAGATATAAATCCACTGTTTTAAGCGATTTTTGAATTCCTCATCATTTTCTTACTTATCCTCGTAAATCCAGGTATCGTTCCTTTTTTCTCCTAACAAGCGATGTTGATTGAAAATTCGACTAGTGAATTGTTTTCACTTCGAAGAATGACAACAGCTGTGGAGGCCGAGCGAGCGAACTCGTAAGTGATAAATTCATTTGTACGTATTTATGTAAGGCAAATCATTTATCTTTAATATGGAGGAAATAAATTATATATGGAAAACAGCTATCACATCAGAATGTCTCTTTTTCCAAATCTAAACTCTGACAGACACTCGGACTCGGTCATCTCATTCAGATTGAAAGTTGAATAATCTTCGTACGGAAAGCAGGTGTTTTTCCACATGAAAAGGTCAGACAACACAAAAAATTCTTCATCGTCAATGGAATTAGACGTACGGCTTAAAAAATAACATCTTGCATTGTTTTAAAAGACGCAATTGCGAAAAACTTTGTTGCGAGCGAACATCACAGTTTTACATTTGTGTTTACATTCAGTGTCGTCGTCACCGACCTACCGGCCGACTACATCTTAAGTTTCCTTAATCCCGCCGAAACTGACGTTCTCGTTCCAGTCTTTTCCCAGTCAACAAACGTCGTCGTCGTGATCGAACTTCGTCGTGGTTCTTAAGTTCCTTAATGAGTCACATCACATTTATTTTACAGTCTTAAACGTATCAGGTTTGTGTGACTCAAGTTTGGTACAAGAATGCCAATTTGAGTAGGTTGGGGGATGTCGACTCCCGTATGAAAGTGAGCAAATTAGAATTAAACTCGTCCTGGTTTGTCTAGCACCGAGCATTTTCCCTGACATGACTTTTTTCATCGGTTAATGTTCTTGGCCAATTTTTGATGGCACTAAAATCAAGCCACTTTCTACAACTTAAACTTACGATTAGTCGGTCTTTATTCTCTCTTGCGGAACTTTAATAGCACAAGACAAAAAAGGAGGCTCGAAATTGCAAAAACTGCGGACGGAGATAGATCAAAGTTGATTACTACTGGGATTTTGTTGAAAAGAGTTCAGCTTTCATTTCATCATCGAAGCTTATCTATAATGTTAACAAACTGGGAAAATGGCTGTCGTGAAGCTGTGATTTTGTCATTTGGAAGTTGCTTCTTCACGCAAACCGCCCGGTTAATAAGTTACCGGTCTATGAGTAAAAAGTTTCGTGTTTGCTTTAGATTGCAGTGTTAGGCAACGGAACAGAATATGATCATGCGCTGAGTGAACACGCTGAACCAAAAGGTACTTGGACAGATTTGGTGAATATTTTTATACATAATTATATCACAGGTAGCCCAAGCTTACTATGAGAGCCCTGAACAACGTTGGCCCTGGGGAAGGCTAGTTTTGTTAGCCGAAATATTGGCCTATAATAAAGCAACCGTTTGCCGTAGTGCCAGCCCTGCATTTAGTTTTGTGACATTATCCTACTTAGCTAACTAATTATTCATACGGCAACAATTGTAAAACGTTGTATGAGAATTACCTTATTTCTCCATAATAGAGCGAAACGTGCATTAAATTTTCCCTTTTGAGCTTGCATTTTGTATTTCCTTATGTTTATTTGTATGTTGACTGTGTTTCAGGCCTCTTAGGCACTGTTTAATGCCTTTTTTCGAGCAACAGTCTCTACTGAAAAACTGTCGCTCGAAAAAAGGCGTTAAGCAGTGCCTGGGAGGTCTGAAATGCAGTCAGAACGCGAAAAACAAAAACAAGAAAAAGCTTAAGGTGAGCTTCAATGCGATATTCAATACACATTTTGCTAATTTAGTTAGCAAACTGAATATTTCTCATAGAACGTCTTATAATTTTCTTTCTGTATGAATAATTAATTGCCTTAGTAAGGTAGTGTTGTTCTTGGGTTCTTGGCTAGCCAGAGAAAACAGCCGACATCTGGCGACGCTATCACTGGTTTCCCCGCCAAATGACGGCTGAGAGTTAAACGAGCGCAGAAATTCCATACTGATGACGCGTCACTTCCCAGATCTGGGTAGTGCTTTTGATTGGTCGTGCCGCGTAAGAAATTTGATTCAACCAATCAGAAGCACTACCCTGATCTAGGTAGTGACGTGTCATCAGTATGGAATTTCTGCGCTCGTTTCTCAGACGTCATTTGGCGGGGAAAGCAGTGGTAGCGTCGCCAAATGTCGGCTGTTTTCTCACGCTAGTTCTTGGCATCCTAAGAGCCCTGAAACGTATTCCAGACACAAATAAACATAAAAAAATACAAAATGCAAGCTCAAAAGAAAAAAAAAATTAATGCACGTTTCGCTCAATTATGGAGAAATAGGGTAATTCTCACACAACGTCTTACAATTGTTGCCGTATGAATAATTAATTAGCTAAGTAGGATAATGTTGTTCAGAGCTCTCATAGTGAGCTTGGGCTCTACCTGTGAATTTGACACCACTATCATCAGCGGCAGTGCTAATTGTAGATTAAAGTGGATGTTCACAGAGATGTCTCATGAACATACAGAAGTACAGACGTACAGTTGACGCTCCATCGTGATATGTCTGTCATATTTTTGTCAAAATGGATGGTCGCTTTTCAGGTTTTTACACTAGCAGTATCGGCAATATTAAACATAATTTCAGTTGAGTGAATAAATAATGAAAAGCAGCAAAAACATATCATCTTTTAAACAAATGTCTGCGATACAATGATACAACTTGAAAAGTAAGCCTGGCACTTCCAATTTATAAAAATAGTAATTTTAGTTCCTTAATGTCTCCGTTAATTTCGGAAACCTATAAATGATTTCACCTTGCACTTAAAATTAAGCACTTTTAAATTTTAACTCAGCGTGAATAAATATTTTTAAATTTCTAGAATACCAAAGAATAGAAGACATGCAACAAGCAGTGAATGCCCAAGAAGTCGATGGAATGATGTTGGACCACTACACAGCTGCGTATTACCAGAGAAGAGATAAACTCTCGAGATCACTCATCACTGTAAAGACGTTTGACCTTCGCAGGGAAGTAGGAGTGCTCTTTTCTAAGGACAGAGAATTCATTGCCGGCTGCTTAGCGATTCACCGTTCAAACATTTGGAGACTTATGCAAACGATGACTGTAAAATTTCAGGTGCTCGCATCATTAATTACTCAGCCGGGTTACTCAGTTATTCTTAAATAGAGACCTAAGATAAAACAACTGTATTCTACATTTATAAACAAGAAACTCAGTCTTAAGCATAGCATGAATTCGGGATACAATCCAGCAAAGGATTTAGAAAAAAAAGATGATCAGATAATCAGAGTTAACTGACTCAATCGACACCTGGAATGATTCTTTGGGTTCGAATCAGAGGCAGGAAAAATCATTTCATAAATGTTTACCCCCGGGGGAAGAACTCCCATATTAAAGTGACAGGAATGCTCTTCATCTCACTTTGGGGTGTAAATTGCAGATTTTGGTCTCACTTAGGGTGTTTGGGA